GATAATATCGGCCATTCGAATGTAGTAGCAAACTACTCTTGCTATTCTCAGATTTCTTTATCCACTTTTTGTCAGGAAGTCTTTTGCATAGCACTCCCAGGCCTTTGATCACTCTGTTCTTTCTTCTGGAATGTCCTCTCATGGCTTCTCCTTCCCTTTTATTAATGTGGCTCAAGACCACTTTCTCTTGGAAGATTTTCCTTAGCACTCATCCCATAATTATTGTGTCCTTTGGAATCTAAACATTTTGTTTTCAGTACACTCATTTAAAACATATCACATACTGCTTTTTTATGGTTAGTTAATAGCCTCTGATTTATGTATCTTGTTGCCTGAACAAATGAAAAGCTCCTTGAGAGGGTCCCGAGTCTGTCTGATTCTATCATAGCGTTGGTTGCATAGTATGTGTCCATTCAATAGTTGATTGATAAGGGGAAAATATTTTTGGGTGACTTCTTCCATCCATTTCGATACCAGGCATTGTAAAAAATGTGAATGTATGTAATACTACTGAACTGTACACGTAAAAATGGTTAAGATGTAGATTTCATGTTATATGTATTTTACTACAATTAAAAGTGTGTGTCTGTATACATATATACACACCACCAAAGTTCATGTTTTATATATCTTCAAATTATATCTGAAATTAATGTACTATCTACTTAGTTTATCAAATGTGAATGCGTTGGAAGAAAACACTGGGTTGAAGTCCTAGCTCTATCAGAGGCCAACTGTGTAATCAGCTTGGGCAAGTTCTTAACTTTTTCTGTCTCCATTGCCTGGTCTATGAAATGAATAGATAGATTCACTCGATGATCTCCACAGGCCTAGTTCTATGAGTCTGTGACTTTATATCTCTCTGGAGAGCACACATCATCTCCAGAATTATGAGAGAGAACGATCTGTCTGGCTCTCTTCCCAGATTTGCAAACCAGACCATCCTAAGTGAGCGTAACCTATTCCACTCCCAGCCCCTGAGGATTCTAAAAACAGTTTGGGAAACTGATAGCAGCTGTGGATTTGCAGGACTGCGCTTCTGCCCCGCCCTGGCCTCGCCTGTTTTTTGGGAATTCCAGCCAGGCTTGTACTCAACCTGTCCTCGTAGGACTCCCTGTATCCAGGCTCCCCAGGGAAGGGATAAGCCCCTGTCTTAGGTGGCCCCTTACCAGGCCTCCAGCTCTAGCTCTTAGGGTGGGGAGGGGTGGGAAAAGGAGCTTTTTCTTCCCTCAACCACACAACATGTCAGGGATGGCTTGGGGAAACAGGTCTCATTAATTAATTAGCTTAGCAAAATTTCTGAATAGTTTATTGACTTCAAATTTTACGTGGGGGGAATTTAAAATTTAAGTGTTTGGTTTACAGCAGCAAAATCCTTTAAAATACATATTTTAAAAATTGTCCTGCTTTTTGGGAAAGACTACTGTTTCGATGGCTGTCCTTTGAAATTAATTTTGGAAGTGGAGTTATTTCATTTGTTTGCTTTTTGTTTTTCAAAGTAATCCTAGGAGGTTTTGTTTGAATTTGCGAATATTTCTAGTTCATCTTGGCTCTGATTAGTTACAATAATTACAAATCTGTTAACCAAAAAGCCAATAATATTAAGAGTCTTTAAGACTGCTAGCACCTTTTAAAACCCCAAAGGCTCGGTTTATACATGCAAAGCATGGGGCAAAAGAGGAGGGAGGAGGAACTGTCATCTTAATCATAGATCACCAGGCCACCCTGCTCACCAGAAGTCCTGAACAAAGGGGAAAGCCAAATACTTTAGGCCTGAGATCACCAGATTCTCAACCAATCTTTGTTTAAAAAAAGAGAGCGGAGAGAAAAAAAAAGAATTTCTTACTGTCACTGTCTTAATACATATTTAATTATTTAGTGACCTACCAACTTCTCTATGGGACTTAAGAATATTTATATAATGATTAAGTAAAACGGAAACTAAGTAGACGAGGAAAAGTGGACCAAATTAAAATTATAGGTTGAAAAGATAAGATCAGCAAGGTTAAAACACAAAAACTTATGAATAAATTCTGGCTTTGCTTGGTGGTGTGCCACAATTCTTGTGAATAACCATCCTTATTTAATTATCACAAAATGTTATTTATTACCAGGCCATTACTACTAGAACCTTCTCTGAGAGCTATTCCCCAAAGCGGTTCAATCCAGCTGTGCTAGAACCCTACGTATTTTGCTTATTATCTTTCTTCGGCTAATGGTATGGTTTGTTCCGTTATTAACACGAGGGGCTACTGCCATCAACAGTGACAAGATTCCTAGCATTAACTTCTTTAAATTCTAGAAAAAGATTCATTGTTCATTTTTCGGTCTTTGTGATCGATTAAGTGTTTTGAGTTGGCTGGAATAGTGTGGTTACTCTGGCATTTCCCTGGACTTGACCTCCAGCCTCTCCAGTGGTTACCTTGAGTAGCCAAGTGTCTGGATCCTGCCAAACAGAGATTCGGTGGTTATATTCATTTTTCTGGTTATGTTGGAAAAGAGGCTTTTCTGTCAGGGCCTTTGTTTCTAATACCAGTTGTGTGGTTTTGTGATTACACTGCAGTTTCTCAAAAAATCTCAATACTACTGTATATTTTTTCCAAGAATTTCATAACCAACACTTTTTTTAATATTAAAAGTAATATGGATTTTTTTTAAGTTTTTTTTTTATTTTTATTTTTGAGAGACAGAGAGAGTCAGAGGGTGAGCAGGGAGGGGTCAGAGAGAGAGAGGGAGACACAGAATCCGAAGAAGCCTCCAGGATCTGAGTTGTCAGCACAGAGCCCAACGCCGGGCTCAAACTCACAGACTGGACTGTGAGATCATGACCTGAGCTGAAGTCAGACACAACCAACTGAGCCACCCAGGCGTTATACACCCCCATCCCTGATTTTTTTTTTTTTTTTTAAGGAAACTCAATCCCAGTTTGTTTATCGTTTTCTATAAAAATTAAGTTTTTCTGTCTCTAACCAACATGATTAGCCTGCAGGCTGGGCTGGAGGTGAAAAAGGTCATAGAAGAATTCTTCCAAAGGAGAGAGTATAAATGTTTCTACACGCTTTTGATGAGTCAGAAGCAGAAAACTAGTGGCTGAGTGACAGCACACACACTAAACAATTCTAGAACTAGAAAAGAATGCTGCCCTCAGGCTAACTGATTTCAGAGTGATGGTTCTCCCATTGAAGTTGGCCTTGGGTAATAGATGTCAAGAGTGGAGGGTGGGGGGAGAGGGGTAAAACAGACACCAGGGCTACTGTATTCCGTTTTAACCATTTTGTCCCATTAGAAGATCATGTATCTTGATTTTTTTTGAGGTGTGATTGACATACAAAAAAAAGCTGTACATATTTAATGTATACCTCTTGGTGAGTTTGAAGTATACATCCATGAAACTGTCATAAGTACACCATCATCACTACAACCATCACCTCTGAAAGTTCCCTCCCTCCCTCTTTTCTTTAAAGAAAATTTAATATAAGATCTACTCTCCGGGGACGCCTGGGTGGCTCAGTTGGTTAAGTGTCCGACTTCGGCTCAGGTCATGATCTCACGGTTCATGGGTTCGAGCCCCGCGTCGGGCTCTGTGCTGACAGCTAGCTAGGAGCCTGGAGCCTGTTTCAGATTCTGTATCTCCCTCTCTCTCTGACCCTACCCTGCTCATGCTGTCTCTCTCTCTCTCCCAGAAATAAATAAAACATTAAAAATTTTAAAAAAAAAGATCTACTCTCCTAACCAATTTCTCAACATAGAAGACAATATTGTCTTATAGCACGAGCATGTGCTATACTGTGCAGTGTGTCTCTAGGATTTAGTATCTTGTGTAATAAGACTACATGCCCTTTGACTAATAACTTGCCAATTCCCCGCTCCCTGTATATTCTGACTTTTAGCAGCAAATAAAGTTATCATTAAGATAAAGAATTGAATTCTCTCTTTATGAGGCTCATAGTAAACATTTTTTGTAACCTCAGAACTCTTAGGCAAAAATATTCATTTATATTTATTTTATGACAATTTTAAGTAATGAATTTCATATATTCCCATATAAACAGAATAGGCAATAAATATATCCTAATACTCAGAACACACAATGTGTTTCCACTCCTGGTTTTGCTAGTCACCAGCTGTGACTTTAGGAAAATAGTTAACCTCTCAGCTTCTTCATCTATAAAACAGTTATAGTAAGGGGCGCCTGGGGGGCTTAGTCGGTTAAGCGTCCGACTTTCGCTTAGGTCATGATCTCGCGGTTCGTGGGTTCGAGCCCCGCGTCGGGCTCTGTGCTGACTGCCGGCTCAGAGCCTGGAGCCTGTTTCAGTCTGTGACTCCCTCTCTCTCTGACCCTCCCCTGTTCACGCTGTCTCTCTCTCTCTCTCCTAGAAATAAATAAAAATATTAAAAAAAAACAGTTATAGTAATACCTAATAATAATACTCTTAGGGCATTATGAAGGATTCAGTGAATACAATGCATTAATGCATTTAGCATAGTTCAGAAAGCATGGTATTCCATAAATCGTAATTATTCTTTAGATTTTCTTCAACAGTACCTAATACATAGTAAATTTTTGAATATTTCACTTTGTTTTCATTATGAGACTGAATGAAGCTCTTATAAAAATCTTATGTCATTGTTAAACCTTACAAATAGATGTGATACAGGGGCACCTGGATGGCTCAGTTGGTTTAGCCTCCGACTCTTGGTTTCAGCTCAAGTCATGAACTCTTGTTCATGACTTCGAGCCCTGCATTGGGCTGTGTACTGACCATGTGGAGGCAGCTTTCAATTCTCTCTCTCTCTGTCTCTCTCTCTCACTCACTCTCTCTGACCGTCCCCTGCTTGCATGCTCTCTCTCAAGGTAAATAAATAAAAACTTAAAGAAATAGGTGTGATATACATTTTGCAGGTGAAGAAATTGAAGCTTGGTGCTGTGGACTGAATGTTTGTGTCCTGCCCATATTCACACGTTGACGCCCTAACTCCCTATGTGATGGTATTTGAAGGTGGAACCTTTGAATGTTAATTAGATTTGAAGAAGCCAGGATGATGAAGCTGCCACGATGGGATTAAGGCTTTTATAAGAGGAGAGGGAGACCAGTGCCCCATCTGCAATGTGAAGGTACAGCAAGAAGATGGCTTTCTGAAAACAAGGAAGAGGCCTCACCAGGAACTGAACTCACTGGCACCTTGATCTTGGATTTCCCAGTCTCCAGGTCTGTGAAAAATAAATGTTTGTTGTTGAAGCCACTGAGCGTATGGTATTTTGTCACAGCAATTTGAGCTAAGACACTTAGCAAAGCTAAATAAGGTCACTCAAGATCACACAGCTCGTAAGTGGCTGCACCAGAATTTGGCTAAGTGTTTGATGCCCACCACCTGGGCTTTTTCCATAGAGCCCCACTGCCTCCCAATGTAATAGGGACACTACTTAAGTTTCTCCAGACAGAAAGTTCCCCTGAACCAGCCTAAATTCAGTCAGTACACTTTGCTATCTGTGTTGCCACATGTGAGTTACTTTTCTGTACCTTAGTATCTTCATCTGTAAAATGTGGATAATAGTAACACTCTATCTCACGGCATTGTTGAGAGAATTTTATGAAGACATATGAAATGTTTAGGACAATGGCTGGCAGGTAGTAAATTTTATATTATTATTATTATTATCATATTACTATTACTAATACTATTTATAACCCTGGTGTCAAGAAGATTAGTCTCTGGGGGATGAGAGGAAAAAACAAATACTATCCATTTCAGCAGACTGTGAGACTGTATATGGTACAATGCTAGTGTATTACTCATGGATTATTAACTTCATGGTTTCCGGAAATCGTCCCTGAGAATTTTAGAGCAGAATTGGACTAGTCACCCTCAGAATCACCAGCAGAGCTTTTAGAAAAACAGATCACAACCTACACTCCCACCCCTCACCGCATCCCACCCCCCCCCCCACCTCCCACCAAGTGGGACCAGTAATCAGAGTCCGCAGAGGTGGGCCAGAAACGCCCCCTTTAACAAGTATCCCACATGACGGCAGCTGTGCAGCCTAACCTAACCCATTTTAAAATGAGGGAAAAAAGTGAGACCCAGAGAGAGAGCATGGAAGGCTCAAGGCTCTTTCCAGCACAGGGCGCTACCATCATTCCCACAGGTGTGCTGCCTGGTTTCCCCAGGTCTGTTGCCAGGACAATCTGCCATCCTCGTCAGCCACAAGAATTAGAGACTCAGTAGAAACGCTCAACTAGTCTCACAGGTCCGCCCTCCTGCTCCTGTGTCCCAGGGCTGTCAGAAAGCTGAGGGCGAAGGCGAGACTTGAGTGGCAGGTGGCGAAGCTCCCGTGGCCTCCTCTGTGAACTAGAAAAGGTAACTCCCTTCAGTGGGCTTGCATTCTTGGCCTAGCATAAACACTATAGGATTCTGCATGTAAACATGGAATTTATCTTCTATTTGGCTTAGCCCTGGTTTGAAAAATAATCCTAGGTCAGCTTTTGAAAAACATCTTATCTCTCTTTTGTATTCTTAACCAGACATGACCCTCTTTTTTTGTTAGTTTGGCCACTGTTGACACTGGGGTTGAGGCGGAACCCACTGATCCTTTAGAAGACCCCACCTGCTCATTTACTGACTCTCTGACAGACTTAACTGTGCTTGTAGATCCACCAAACGGAGTTCATAGTAAAAATACTACTGACTTGTAAATGTAGCCTTAAAGTCAGCAGAGGCTTTTCTTCAAGAGCTCCCAGGTATTTCCAGACATCTGAGGCAAAAGGAAAAAAACAAACTCTTTTCACGGCTCTCATGAAACCAATTTGTAGATATTGTCTAACAGCTGCCATTGTTTAAAAACATAGGAACGCTAGCTCTTTTTCAGAGTTGTTTCTAAGTACCTCCCAGGCAGGGATAGCTTATAAAATGGGAACAACGAAAGCCGCCAGAAGAAAACCAAGAGAATTGTTATAAATACCTAGTCCTACCCAGTCAGCAGCTAAGCTGGAAATAGACCAATTGCTTAGAAGGATGCTTCTACTTTCCTAAAAAGGAAGAAAAAAAAATAGTTATGGGGACTTATTTCTAGTTCTTGATACAGATATTCCCTACATGGAATCTTTCCTTTAGATGCCAGGAGCAGGGAGTTGGAGGGAAAAGGATCATTTATTAACCGGGTGCTTTTCCTTCTGGAGCCCAGAGGAAAAAGAAATGTTCTCATAGCTAACATTCTGTAGTTCCTTTCTTGTAACACTCATCAATCTTATAATTGCTTGTTCAATATCTGTCTTCCAATTAGACTATAAATTCCATGAGAGTGACTACATTTTTTTTATTTGCTAGTGTGTCTCTGGTATACAGCCCTGGCACATAGTTTGATGTTCAATAAATATCTTTTGAACAAAATGCCGAATAAATTACATAGAAGCCATAGCCTTCGACAGGGGTGATTGGAACTAGTAAGATTTAAATTGCAGATGAAGCTGCTATGTGGAGTAAGTTGCTGTATACATCCAAGGTGATGGAGTGTATGATGGAATTAATTAGATAACCAAGGGTGAGTTTCTAGTTTTGAAAACCAAACCAAGGAAGAATCTTATGATTACATTGAACCTGGTGTGATTACATTGGTAATCACCAAGAATCAAAGAAAAAAAAGCCAAATTGCATCTAGGTCTGGCTATCTTAAAATATGTTTTGTCTATATTATAGTACATATTAGTGACTTAGGTCCAGCTTGTTTTAACAAAGAGGAGTTTTAGGTTTTCATTTAAGGCAATAGTATAAAGGTAGTCATATCTATGGTTTAAACTGTATAAATTCTACAACACAATTAGCATCATAAAACCATTTGAGGTAGTGTAAAATCATTGCTGGTTTTGTTGTTGATAAATTAGCTTTTGAAAAATAAATCTAAGTTAAACATATGAAGTGTCTAGAGTAATGCTGTAAATGCTACATGCTTTAAAAAATGAAGAGAACAATATTATCTCAATGATACAACTTCCTTGATGCGATGAATATCTATCTGAAGACTCCATCATGAGAGAGTCTAATTGAGAAATGGCTGAGAGCTTATCTCTGTTGAACTTCAGTCCTTGGAGGTACTGCCTCTTCTGAAGAAAACCTAGAGAAATGGACTCAGAACTGTAACAGCAGATCAGGATCAGAATTGGAGAGCTGAGAACATGTGAAGCAAAGGAGACAAATATACTCATAATGACTTTTTATTTAAGGAATTTTGAATAGACTATACTTTGGAAAAAATCACTTGTAGGAATGTATGCCTGCAAATTTAAGTATTTGACTTGTTTTTTAGAAAATCTGCAATTTGGCAGCTTTATTAAGGTATAGTAACATACAGTAAGCAGCATATATATAAAGTGTACAATTTGATGAGTTTTGACATATGTTTATATCTGTGAAACCATCACCACAATCAAGTAAATCCATTAGCCTCTAAAGTTTCCTCATGGCCCTTCCTAATCCCTCCCTCCTGTGTCTTCCCCCAAACAGACTGATAGCTTTTTTTCTTTCTTTGTAAAATTTTTTAATGTTTATTATTATTAAAAACTTATTATTTTTGAGAGACAGAGAGTGAGCAGGGGAGGGGCAGAGAGAGAGGGAGGCACAGAATCTGAGGCAGGCTCCAGGTTCTGAGCTGTCAGCACAGAGCCCAACGGAGGGATCAAACCCACAAACCATGAGATCGTGACCTGAGTGGAAGTCGGTTGTTCAACCCACTGAATCACCCAGGTGCCCTCCTCCCTTCTTTTTTTTTTTTTAAGTAAGCTCTATGTGGGGCTTGAACGTACAACCCTGAGATCAAGAGTCGCATGTTCTACCAAATGGGCCAGCCAGGCGCCCCATCTTTTCTTAAATTAAAAATGTTTAATTGTGATAAAAAACACATAACATAATATAACATTTGTTTATTATCTTAAAGATATAACAAAGATTAGAGCAAAGGTTAATGAAATTAAAACTGGAAAAAAATCAACAAAGCTAAGAGTTCCTTTTTTGAAAAGATGGACAAAATTGAGAAAACCTTAGATTAACTAAGAAAAAGAAAACTCAAATAACTAAAGTCAGAAATAAAAGAGGGGGCATTTCAAGTAATGCTACAGAAATAAAAAGGATTATAAGATACTACTATAAATAATTATATGCCAAAAAATTGGAAGACTTAGAAGAAATGGAAAAATTCCTAGAAGTAGACTACCCATGGGGACTGAATCACATAGAAAAAGAAAGTCTGAACAGACCATAACTACTAAGGAGACAGAATCAGTAAATGAAAACCTCCCAAAAGATTGGCCTGACTCACAGGTGTCTGGGCTAGAGCTTCAGGAAAAGACTAAAGATTAGATTGTAAGAAAATATAGAAGCCATGTTTCAAAGACCTGAATTACAGGCATTCATCTGTTCGTAAGACATGGGTCTCAAATAGCCAACAGTTTGGTTCTCAAAAGATCTCTAAATTGTGTGCAGTTACTTGGGAAAGTGGGTCAGGACTGTGTCATGAGACAGGTGGAAGGAAAAAAAAAATCCAGCTAAAGTATTTTCTCTAGTAGCAAATGAGATGTGGTGACCAGGGGAAAGTGAGGTGTACCAAGAATAGGCAATGTCAGTCAAAAGACAACATGGCACAGATTATCAGTATTACAGCCAGGTCTCAGAAACATGGCATACCAGTAGGTGAAAAGGGGTCTTGAATTGATGTGGAAAGGAAAGTAGGTTCAGGTGATGCACAGATAAAAATAATTCCAAATGGCAGTCAATGATCATCATAGCAGGCAACACATTTCTGGGTGACTAGACAAAAGAGAAGGCATAGGCTTGGTTATCCTCCTTTGGTCATTGTTTGGAATCTCATTTCCAAATCATGTATAGTCTTTAGAGTTTCTAAGTACAAGGATTAAAATATACATACCTCCTAACAAAGAACAGCTCAAGACCAGATGGTGTGACTGGAAAGGTCTACCAAGCATTTAAAGAAGAATTAAGGGCGCCTAGGTGGCTCAGTCGGTTGGGCAACCAACTCTGGCTCAGGTCATGATCTTACTGTTCTTGGGTTCAAGCCCCACATTGGGCTCTGTGCTGACAGCTCAGAGCCTGGAGCCTGCTTCAGATTCTGTGTGTGTGTGTCTCTCTCTATGCCCCTCCCCTGCTCACACTCTGTCTCTCAAAAATAAATAAATGTTAAAAAAATTTTTTAA